CCCTTTGTACTACATTAACAAAGGCACGACGGGTTGGTTGCACTTGATTGGGAAACCGATCCGCATAAAGACTCCCCCCCCGTAAATAAGAATCATGTCCACAAGTTCAGCATTTTCGTAAACATAGGACATTTTTTATTTCGTTTGAGCCACGCAACTAACACCACTATTCACCCACGCGTTACCGACTGACACATTGACTGAAAACAACTGAATAAAATTGTCAATGGAGTAAAAACATCGTTTCAAATTCTTTCGCTTTTTTGTTTCCGATGCGATGAACGGATAAGGCGGATTATATCCGTTGTTGCCAAACAGGAGCACATAATATTATTATTGAGACAGGGCGGTACTCAAACTTCTAAAGGGTTATAACTTTGTTACTTTAATTTTACCAGAAAAATGTTAAAGGAAAAAAACATTTCTTTTGATCAGATCTACTCACTGTTAAAATAAATGACTCAACTTCGATGTCACCCTGTCTATACAGGGTGACTTTGAAGTTGAGTCATTAATTTTCAGATAATGATTGTAGAAGGAAGATAAACCAAAATATGTGTAAAAATAAAAAAATAAATAAAAAAAATGTTACCTTGTTTAATAAAGTATCGTCCCGACAAGTATTTCAGTGCGGACCTGTATTTGATCGTGCGGTCTTGGAGCAGCATGCCCTGACCTGTGAGGTCTTAAGTCACCTGATTCACGAGCCCTTTGTACTACATTAACAAAGGCACGAGGGGTTGGTTGCACTCGATTGGGAAACCGATTCGCATAAATCCGTGATGCATCCGGGAGCATTTTGTAAAGACTGCCCCCCCGTAAATAAGAATCATGTCCACAAGTTCAGCATTTTCGTAAACATGTGCCATTTTTGATTTCGTTTGAGCCACGCAACAAACACTACTATTCACTAACGCGTTATCGACTGACGAAAAACATCGTGATAAACGTTTCAAATTCTTTCGCTTTTTTGTTTCCGATGCGATGAACAGGTCAGGCGGATTATATCCGTTGTCGCCAAACACGAACATATAATATTATTATTGAGACAGGGCGGTACTCAAACTTCCAAAGGGCTATAACTTTGTTACTTTAATTTTACCAGAAAAATGGTAAAGGAAAAAACATTTCTTTTGATCAGATCTACTCACTGTTAAAATAAATGACTCAACTTCGAAGTCACCCTGTATATATATACAGGGTGACTTTGAAGTTGAGTCATTAATTTTCAGATAATGATTGTAGAAGGAATATAAACCAAAATATGTGTGTAAAAATAAAAAAAAAATTAAAAAAAATTTTTTACCTTGTTTTATAAAGTATCCTCCCGACAAGTATTTCAATGCGGACCTGTATTTGATCGTGAGGTCCCCTGTGAGGTCTTAAGTCACCTGATTCACGAGCCCGTTGTACTACATTAACAAAGGCACGAGGGGTTGGTTGCACTCGATTGGGAAACCGATCCGCATAAACATGTGCCATTTTTTATTTCGTTTGAGCCACGCAACAGATACAACTATTCACTGACACTGATTGTATACAAATGAATGAAATAATTCGTTCCAAATTCTTTCGCTTTTTTGTTTCCGATGCGATGAACCGATACGACGGATTATATCCGTTGTCGCCAAACACGAGCACATTGAGACAGGGCGGTACTCAAACTTCCAAAGGGCTATAACTTTGTTACTTTAATTTTACCAGAAAAATGGTAAAGGAAAAAAACATTTCTTTTGATCAGATCTACTCACTGTTAAAATAAATGACTCAACTTCGAAGTCACCCTGTATATACAGGGTGACTTTGAAGTTGAGTCATTAATTTTCAGATAATGATTGTAGAAGGAAGATAAACCAAAATATGTGTGTAAAAATAAAAAAAAAATAAAAAAAAAATGTTACCTTGTTTAATAAAGTATCCTCCCGACAAGTATTTCAGTGCGGACCTGTATTTGATCGTGCGGTCTTGGAGCACCGGCATGCTCTCACCTGTGAGGTCTTAAGTCACCTGATTCACGAGCCCTTTGTACTACATTAACAAAGGCACGAGGGGTTGGTTGCACTCGATTGGGAAACCGATTCGCATAAATCCGTGATGCATCCGGCAGCATTTTGTAAAGACTGCCCCTCCGTAAATAAGAATCATGTCCACAAGTTCAGCATTTTCGTAAACATGTGCCATTTTTCATTTCGTTTGAGTCACGCAACAAACATCACTATTCACCCACGCGTTACCGACTGACGAAAAACAACGTGATAAACGTTTCAAATTCTTTCGCTTTTTTGTTTCCGATGCGATGAACCGATATCCGTTGTTGCCAAACACATAATATTATTATTGAGACAGGGCGGTACTCAAACTTCTAAAGGGCTATAACTTTGTTACTTTAATTTTACCAGAAAAATGTTAAAGGAAAAAACATTTCTTTTGATCAGATCTACTCACTGTTGAAATAAATGACTCAACTTCGAAGTCACCCTGTATATATATATATATATATTATATTATATGTATAGCAATCTCAGATTTATATGCAGGGCTGGTAACGTTGCGGGATATTAATGCACAATCTGGCAACCATGTCGCACCCTCAAAAAATGGCCGCTGACAACCATACAAGTCACCTTGTTGCCATTGAATAGCATAGAATTAAACCTTCTTCAGTGTATATGTTTTGTGTTCCATCTGTTCCCGCTCCGGTTCACTACGGGATCTCGCGAAAAAATCTCTAATATTTAGAGTTTGAATATGCCTTTAGACGTTTCACCCCCCTGAAATCCCACCAAACGCATAGAACTCAAGTTGGCGTTGATAGAACCTGATTTTTGACAGAGTATCGACTCTGTGACTCTGCCTCCTGCAGGGTTGCCAGGCATGGCGAATTTTCGCCAAAGTGGCGATTTGACGGCTTCCAATAGCGACTAAAATGGATAGCTTGGCGATTGGCTACTTTAGTGGCGCACCGTATAAAGCATATTGGCGATATCTGGCGTTGTTTAGCATTCCTGGTGCCACTTAATTTGTAATCCGTTTTTGCCGATATAATAATAATAATAAATCGTGCTACTCCAGAAAAACTGAAAAGCTATACAAAAAAGATAAACACATTTGATAGGTACCAAGTTTAAAAATGTAGGTGTATAAAATATGATGTATACTATATGACATATATAAGTGAAGGCAATTCAATAATTAATGAGCTAAAAGTATAAAATTGCAACAGTTATACAAACGAAGGAATGCTATATGTGAAATATTTTTGTGTGAGGTGACAGATAAATTTTATCAATTAATTTATATACTTCTAGGTATTCAAAATAAATTTATTCATATGATAGCAATTTTGTAAAAAATAATTGTATAGATTAATGAAACATGAAACGAGGCCCAGCGGAAGTTCTGTGTTCTAAGCCCAATGGATCCGACCCATGTGAATGAACACTGAATGAACTCATAAATCGAATTCAAGCGGATAACCAAATGAAAATGGTATTTACCATTTTGGATTGGTATTTACCGATCGGTTTAAGTTAGTGTGGTTATCAGTTTGGTTATAAGATCCGTGCCGTCATGAATCAGCTGTTATATGTCATAGTTATCACCGCAAAATTGTGGTAAAGTGGATACCAAATAAAATCCGATGCACGTCATAGGTGATGTCATTCATAAAAATCATGGTTACCAACAGTTGACTACATTCAATGTGACATTTCTACTTGAAGTTTAAATTTCCCCGTCTCGATTCTGTTGGTAGTGCCGTGCAGAGAAATGTGAGGTTGCCACTTCTCATTTGTTGACATCAGTTGCCATTGTCCTTTTGTCGTACTATTAGTTCTTTATTGTTTAGTTTGTGAGTTTTGCGCTATTTGAGCTTTGAATCGTTGCCTTGCCAATTTAAAATTGTTCTTTTCAGAACAACAGTTACTGTGAAGTGGTGTTAAGTATCCAAAATGCCAAAACAACTTAACAGTCGGTGTAAAGAGCTCATATCATTGAATATCTACCAAAATCAGGTGTTTTTATTCAGAAAGGAATTTAATTTTACAACAAGTTTATTTATTTTTAATATAATGGTATTATAGTAAATGGTAGGTATATATAAACAATTTATTTTATTAAATTTATTTGCTTAAAAGAAAATGTGCAAATTCTGGCAACAGCGCACAGCTCCAGATCGATGACGTGCATCGGGTTTTATTTGGTATCCACTATATTTACCTAACTCAGTAGTAGTTTTATATTTCTGGTTATTATTTGACATGTGACAAGTTAGAATTTTGTCGGGTATTGCACATTTTTATTGTTCTTCAGCAACAGTTTTGGGAAACTTGATACATGCTGACTTCAGTTTTAGCATAAAGTAGAGCACCTTATTAGTTATAATCATTACTGTTGTTGGGGACACATTAAATCTAGTTCCTACGCTCAACAAAGTATCACATATAGCCATATACCACAAGAATATTAAAATATGGCCATATAACCTCACTGGATGATGTCCACCTGTATACGGTTTTGTTAATATCTTTTTTTCATCGCTTTTTCATCATTTCTGCTAAATTTTCTTTGACATGCGGAAAAGTTTTGAGACTTGAAAGTTATCATAGCTACAAAGCCATGGTTCCATCGGTAAGCATTTTTTTCCGAAAAAAAAAACATTCCTCCCATTAATATTATGAACGGTTTCTTTTTTTCAACTTTCCATACCCCGTTGTAGACGAAAAAGCACCGATTATTAAGCGATAATAAAAATAATCAGAAATTATATCCGCGCTTTTCTAAAATAAACAACTTGAAACAAACCGCGGTTAAAACCAACGCGTTCAAGCGATTCGAGTAACTGAGGTCATCATCCCGTGTGTCATCTTGAACCATATTATAACCGCGGTACATAATACGGAAATTTTGGTTATATATATATATATATATATATAATATATATTTGATTATAGTTTCGTTCAGATTACACGTGTCTAACGACCCCCATTCTCAACCCCCCACCCTTTTCAAGGGATTGCTTATTATCATATAATATTATTATTATGCCTAACCTCCCTCACCTTCACTATTCAATTCAGTTAACAGGCAGGCTACTACCCCTCCCCCCTCCCACCTTTCACAAATTCATACCAATCTCTAGCCTGGCGTTTTATGATTGACTCCTAGTTATTTCACAGATTGGCGATTTTCCCATCAAAACTTTGCGACCAACATGACTGAAAACCTGGCAACCCTGGCCTCCTGCCCTGCCTGGAAAAATATATTGTTTACATTTGTTCTGTATTTGTTTGAAACGTGCTCTAGGTACTTTTTTAATTTATTTTGAATGTCAATACTTGTGATTCTTGTGGTCAAAACCATAGTGAAACCTTGTTATATTCCGGTATCTATAGAAACAGTTCTTCATTGAGCAGCGAAAAAGAAAGAAGTTTAATCAACGCACAAGAATACAATTGCCTTAACTTCCTCTAGATTATTTTTGAAAGTTGAACATGACCTCGGACTGGTACAACAGACTCCGAAATGCGAAAAAGTCATGTATGGTAGACAGAAATCTGAAGAAAATACACTATGCTTTCGAAAATGGTCAAGAAATGGTTGAGGAGTACAATCTGGATACAAATGTGGTAACACGAAGAGCCTGGAAACATAAGGGGGAACTGGAATGCCAAGGTGAGTAGTGAAATTCAAGTTAGATTTATCCTGTAATCTTGGCAGTAGTAACATACCTAACAAGCTGAGGGTCTGGCTGCAAAGGAATCAGTAGGTACCTGCTATATAGTAAGATTCTGAATTAGTCTCATGTTTTTGAGATTATCTGTATTCAATTTGTGTGTGGTAAAACTGGCTTGCGTTCAGCTAATCCCCTGCCATTTCCACAAATAGTAACCTTTTTGGACCAGGTATGTTTTAAATCACTCAGAATTAAGCATTTCATTCCATGCAGTATATTTTATCTTAAAATATGGATAAACTTGCATAAAACTCATGGCAATGTCAAAATTGTAATGTAATTCTGTTTTCATGTCTAACTTTGACTCCATGTAGTACTATTCGTGATTTGTTTGTCTGGGTGGGCCATAGGACTTTTACCGATTTATCACTGTCTAATACAGACCTCTTCAACTCGGGTGACACCAGTGCAGCGCCGAGCACCGCTCGCAGGACAGTGCTGCGGGGTGACTCCGTGAAGGTGGGGGAGGGATTAGGCAGCGGCATACGCATCGCGAGGAACGTGTTGTGCTAACCATAGCACCCTGCGAATAGAAATCACCCGGGAGCTAGTGGCATTGAGTATACCTTCATCGCAGATTCGACTAAATTTAGTAATAATCTGTAGTTTTTAAGTATATGAACAAGAAGAGCTCAGTAAGATTGGGCGCAAACCTGCCAGAAGTACCTGTCATACTGACTTGAAGATACAGCTTAATAAGAGAGTTTCACTGTCCTCACCGAATCCAATGAAGCCTACAAGGTTTGATGGAAATTTTAGGCTGATTTGGAAAAACATGGTATGACAAACTGATTTCTGCCAGAAGTTTGTGTCGTACCGACTGAAAGCTATAGCAGGCAATGCAAATAGATCAAAATAATACATCCTATTTGTATGCTTCATGCTTGCATTTAAAAGCTCATTTGAGTCTGTCAGTTTGACACCAGACTTCTAGATCTTTGAAAGTATGTATGCATGTAAAATGAATATGAAACATCATCACCGTTGTTATAGGTATAGGTTATGGTAAAATCCTATGGTCACGTTGTATCTTCAAGTCGATATGACAGGTACTTTCATCAGCATACCAAGCCTTTTTTGTTCATTTAGTTTGAAACTACATATTATTACTAAGTTTACTAAAATTCGCGATAAGGTTTAATTTTGCCGGCTCCCATCCCCAACGGAAAATGAGTGGAGTGACATTCTTATTGAAATTTGAATTGGTCTGATCGAGTCAACGCGCGGGTGATAAAATAATGTTCATAACTTCGACGTAAACACATTAATCAAATCCAAGGGAATAACCAAAATTTCCATATTATGTACCGCGGTTATAATATGGTTCAAGATAACGGGACGACGACGTCAGTTACTCGAATCGCTTGAACGCGTTGGTTTTAACCGCGGTTTGTTTATTTTAGAAAAGCGCGTATATAATTTCTGCTTATTTTTATTATCACTTAATAATCGGTGCTGTTTCGTCTACAACGGGGTATGGAAAGTTGAAAAAAAGAAACCTTCCATAATATTAATGGGAGGAAGGTTTTTTTTTCAGAAAAAAATTGGTACTGATGGAACCATAGCTTTGTAGATATGGTAACTTTCAATTCTCTAAGGTTTTCCGCATGTCAAAGAAAATATTTATTGATTTAGCAGAAATGATGAAAAACCAATGAAAAAAAGATATTAACAAAACTGTATACAGGTGGACATCATCCAGTGAGTTTATATGGCCATATTTTAATATTCTTGTGGTATATGGCTATACAGGATACTTTGTTAAGCATAGGAACTAGATTTAAAGTGTCCACAACAACAGTAATGATTATAACTAATAAGGTGGTTTCTTATGCTAAAACTGAAGTCAGCCTATATCAAGTTTCCCAAAAATGAAGAAGTACAATAAAAATATCCAATACCCGCCAAAATTCTAACTTGTCACATGTCAAATAATAACCAGAAATATAAAACTACTCCTGAGTTGGGTAAATACCACAATTTTGCGGTGATGAACTATGACATATAACAGCTGATTCATGACGTCACGGATCTTATAACCAAACTGATAACAACACTCGCTTGAACGTATCGGTAAATACCAATCCAAAATGGTAAATACCATTTTCATTTGGTTATCCACTTGAATTTGATTATTTATTCTTAAGATCTTTGACAGCATTTCGATTGAACAAGTTTTGTAAGATTTGGTACAGTGGCTTGAGCAGTGGAGATTCTGAGTATCGCCTCTAAAGACACATGAGACAAAGACCTGTTTTTAGTTTTGTTCAAATTCATTAAAGAAAACATCTGCTCGCAGAAGTACGTTATACCGAACATGGAGCAAGTTTCCAAGGCCGGTGCAAGAATTTTCGGAAAATCTTGCTGCTTAACACCTTGATAAAACGAAATTAAATTACTACGTATGTATTGGTAGTATCTAACCTTAAGGATCGTAGCGCATTGAAGCTTAATCAGCTCCATTTGGAAATGCGGCGGTTCTATTTCGAAAAGCACTGAAGATGGCGTCGTAAAAATCTCATTTGCATAAACATCTCAACGTCCTCAATGATTTAAAAAAAAAATCTTTAGCACTTTTGCGCAGCTTTACCAGCGTGTAACACAATAAAAGCGTATGTCACTGTAAGTTGCTTCCAGGTCTTTTAAAAATACTTCAAACTGCCGTGGTTGAGACCTTGCTTTCTGCAAAAATTGACACATGTTATTACTACATCCATAATAGATTTGAAATTACGGGAGGTTTTTGCACGTAGTTGTTCCTGATGTAATATGCAGTTTACCGATGATACCAGAGGTAGCCTAGCGTCGCGTACTTATATATATATATATATATATATATATATATATATATATATATATATTTTCATTCCCAGTAAAACCTTGTGCTTCCCATAACATTGCCGCCAGAAGTAACAACACTACGAAAACTTTTGAGTAGTATACCCATGTTATTCATTGTGTATTCTACAGCATCAAAAATATCTTCTCTGACCATTGTATCTTTAAGCAGGATAACGTCTAGTAGTTTGTGGGTGATAGTAAAGACTATTTCGGCACCTCTAACGAAAACAGCTAATTATGCTGTGTCAGAAGTGTCTTTAATTTCATAGAATACTGCACAAAATGGGAACATTTTCCCGCAGTTATTCTTTTAAATCTGCAGCAAGTTCAAGTATCGGACGAGAAATTGTTTACTCGGACATACTAATTGTCTCAAAGTTGCTTACAGGGGATGGGCACAATATTTCTGCACACTCCACTAAGCATTCTTTGACAAGTGCATTACGATACCATGGATAATAATCAACTACGACCAAATTAATAATTACCTCTTCAGAACTTAGAAGGGCCGGCCTCAATACCGTGTGACAAATTAAACATTTTGCTTTTCTATCAGTATTTACAAAAAATAGGCTTCTTCCATGCAGGATTGAATGACATCGTTTAAAAAAAGATGCACGTTAAGACGCTAAAAAACCTGTCCAATTTGTCTTGTCCTATTAAGAAATGGCCCGCGCCCAAGAGACAGTCGGCTTTTGGGGTTTGTCTCTGTAGCGACGGCTGTGCGGTCCAGGTGGAGGGGGAACGGCACCGGTGCCGCGGGGTTCAGCACTGGAGCGCACCAGCACCAAGTGCTCAAGTTGGAGAGGCCTGGTCTAATATACATTAGTCAAATCTGTCAGTCATAGTTGCCCAGAAACCAGACAATATCAAGGAAAAAGAGAAACGGAAAGATAAGAAAAAAGGGAAAGAGCAAAGAAAAACAGAAAAGTATTAGTTTAAGAGACACCATGTAGTGCGAGAGAATCAAATGTATGATCACTACTAATAACTTGAAAAAGTTGATTGGTTGTTATAGAATTTTTAAATGGTATTTTATGTGCATTCTGCTATTACTTCCTTGCAATTGCAGTTATAATGGGTTTGTTTCTGCACAATAATTATAAAATATCGCATTTTATGGCGTGCAGACAGAAAAAGTTCAGGGTTGATGTTAAAGTGTAATTTATATCAAAATTTATTAATGTAATGGGCACCTTTTTGGAACCCAATTTTCTTACTGTGGTCAGCTCGGCTTGGAATACAAATTCTCTAAAGCAACCCTAACAAAATATTTAGTGGAATTAAGTCAATACTGAAGCTATATATATTTTATTTCATTTTATACAGACTAGTGATACACTACATTTCAACTTTCGAACTGTTTCATTCAATGATGTTCGAGACGCAATCAAAAGCTTAAAGAATTCTAAAAGTAAAGATCCATATGACATCGATGTTAAAATTATGAAGACCTTAAATAACTTGTTAGTATATCCTATAACAAAATTGATAAACATATGTATAGAAAATAATGTCTTTCTTGCCTTATTAAAACTTGCAAAGATTCTGCCACTCTTCAAGAAAGGCTGTGAGAATGATCCATGTAATTTTTTTTTTTTTTTTTTATATCGAAACAGCCGCGCAGGCAGAAGCCTAAATGCCGGAACACCGCGGCTGCTATGATGATCCCAAAGAAATTTTGTTAATACGATTTTTGAACTGCCTAAGGTTACTAGAACTGGGAAAAGCTTCCTCCCGTAGTTTGTTCCACAATCTAGACACCCTCGGGACAAAGGAGCGGTCGTATCGGCCAGTTCTGGATGTACGAAGTTTGACACGGTTAGGATGGGACGCCGAAGTCAGGCGGGTCTGTCTGGCAGGCACATCGCGCGGCGGCATCATGGAAGAGAGCTCTGAGGAGCAAAGCCCGTTGGTGTAGCGATAGAAAAGAGCTAGATCGCCGACGGCCCGCCGGTGCGAAAGAGTCCCGAGACTTTCTGTTAGAGAAGAGTCATCGATCAGTCGGACCGCCCTCCTCTGGACAGCATCGAGCATGGACAATGTAGTCGGAGCGGCAGCACCCCAAATGTGTGAGCAATACTCGAGGCTAGGCCTTATCTGGGCCTTGTATAGAGTGAGAAGGTCATGCGGAGAAAAGTACTTCTTAGCCCTAAACAAATAGCCTAGCTTTTTCCCAGCTGCTGCAGCTATTGAAGAGATGTGTTCGTGCCAGATCAGGTCCTCGGTGATCTGGACTCCGACCAGCCGAAATGAATGGCTCTTTGGTAGAACTCGACCGTCCATCGAAACTGTATGAGCGCTAGGACGCTTTTTGTTCGTCAAAGTACAGTACTGTGTTTTGGAAGCATTGAACTGTACAAGATTGTTGCGTCCCCAAGCAATGGTAGCCTCCAGGTCTCTTGTCAGAGAAGAAGTCGTCGCTAGTCTTCTTTTTTCCAGCTCAGCGGCAGAGATCGGCTTGTCACTCTGAATTCCTGCATGTAGAGTGCTGTCATCAGCGAAGCTGTGGATTGGGTTGATCGTGCAGGAAAGGAGGTCGTTGATATGTAAGAGAAACAGTGTTGGAGCCAAGACCGATCCCTGGGGAACACCCGCGTTGACGTTGTGGGATGAAGAGGAGAATCCGTCAATTACGACGGATATCTTGCGGCCACAGAGAAAGTCAGCCACCCATCTGCAAAGCTTTTCTGGGAGGCCGTAGGATGGAAGTTTGCTCAAGAGGGCAGCGTGCCACAGCTGATCGAACGCTTTCGTGATGTCAAGAGCAACGACATGAGCCTCACCGTGAGACTGGATGAGTTTGCTCCACAGTTGCGTGACGTAAGCTAGGAGGTCCCCTGTGGATCGTTGGTGCCGGAAACCGTACTGCCTGTCGCTAATCAAGCTGTGACGTTCGAGGTAGTCCAGAAGCTCGCGATTTATGCACCTCTCCATCACTTTACTTATAACAGAAAGCAGAGCTATAGGCCTGTAGTTGTAAGGGTCGGTTTTAGATCCTTTTTTTGGGATGGGCTGTACATGAGCAAATTTCCAGTTTTCTGGGAAGGTGCCGGATTCATAAGATATCTGGAAGAGACGCGAAAGAACTGGAGCAAGCTCAGCTGCACATCTCTTCAGTACAATGGCAGGAATCAAGTCCGGACCAGAAGCTTTGTTGATGTCGAGCGACAAGAGCACTCGTCTTACGGTCTTATGCCTGAATGTTACCTCCCGCATAGTGTGGGGAACCCTTTGAATTGACGGCACTTGGGCATTGGTGGGGACGTCCATGGTGGAGTTGGCAGCAAAGATCTTGGCTAGCACTTCCGCCTTGGCCTTTGAGTCGAATACAATAGTTCCATCCTGACACGTAAGTGGTGGAAGGCTACTGTGTGAGAAGTTCTTTTCAATCTGCTTGGCCAGCGTCCAGAAATACCGACTGCCATTGCGCTGCGACATTACCCTGTGCCTAACTTTTATATCATGCTGGGTTTTGGCATTGCGAACCGCTTCGTTATATTTGTTTCTGGACTCGACGTCGGCTTGCCTGTTCTCTACAGTGGGGTTTTGTAAGTAGGTTCTGTGGTCCTTGATCTTCTGCTGGCGAGCAGTGTCACACGATTTGTTGAACCAGCCGTTGGACCCTGGTTTAGGAACTTTCACTGTGTGAGGGATGTATTCGTCCATTCCGACGTGGATAATTTCGGTTATTGAAGAACAGACAGTCGACGCATCCGCGTCAGTGAAACAGACATCTCTCCAAGGAAAGCTAGAGAAGAAGTCTCTGAGCCCCTCCCAGTCGGCATGTCCGTAATGCCAAGTTTTGCGGCCTGTGCGAGTTTCTGCGGCCACAGCGGCTTCTGACCGAAACCTAACCTCCACAACACCGTGATCTGAGTTACCCAGGGAGGACAGGACTGCAGTGCTGTAAGGGGCAGGATGCGTGGTCAGAAAGAGATCCAGCAGGCTACTGGCGTGTGACGAGACGCGGGGGAAAAAAGTAGGGCTTGTCACCAGCTGGGTCAGCCCTTGAGTAAGAGCGAACGCTTCGACTGCACGACCTGCTGCATCGGTCTTATTTGAGCCCAACCAAAGCTCATTATGCGCATTGAAATCACCGAGAAGAACTACCTCTGAAGCGGGGTGATTGATGTTCAGGAAGTCGATCTGGACGGCGAGGTATTCGAGTAGGTCATCCCAGTTATGGTTCGAGGGAGAGCGATAAAGGCAGCAAATAAATTTGGGTGATGTTTTGGAGTTGAGGCGAAGCCACAGAATGTCCTTCCGGTCTGATTCCAAAGAAAGATCCCTGGAGCAGGAAAGACTGCTGCGGACAAAAGCCACAACTCCCCCGTTCTTTCTCAGATTAGAGTGCACCTCGTAGTTTGGGAAGTTGAGATGGTTAATCGGTGCAGCCTCTGAGATTTTTGTCTCCGCCAAGAAAAGCACGGCGGGACGATTGGATTGCAGGTAGTGATGAACAGCATCAATGTTGCTGTTGATCCCGCAGTTGTTCGAAAAACAAATTTTATCTTCGATGTTGTTCCCTCGAGCCCACCCTCCACCCGGACATTCCGAGAGTGGAGTGAGTTTACGTCCGGAGTTTTTAGTGCTCGAGGGATCCATCATCATTAATTTCTTTGTTTTGGTAGATAACCGACTGCATAGCTTAGGTGTGGAAACATGCGGACATTTATAAGACACCCTGGGAAAAGCTAGCGGGTGGTACTGCCTCGGTCGACTGGTCCTTGTCTACCACCTTCTTTTTACGTATTAGTGATGTTAAATAGACCTAAAGTGGCCCGTTGGCGGACTTGTACCGCCACCCGGCAATCGGTACTGAGGTATTCCTTAACGCGTGCGCAATCACTTGGACGGGAAGAAGTTGTATACTGGATACAACGACTTCCGGAACAAGCATTTGCCACGGCCCTCGCTCAGTAGCGGACGAAATTTCAGACCCATCTCTATAATACCAATTATAGCAAAAATTTTCGAAATTCTTCTGAAGAATCAGATATGTGAATACTTCAAAGGTAACAATTTATTCTGTAACAACCAGTTTGGATACCGTACCAACAGATCAACGAAAGCAGCAATAAACGATTTTATCAGTTTCATCAACAAATGTCTGGAAGATAACATGTTTGCTCTCGCTAACTTCTATGATCTTACAAAAGCATTTGATTGTGTCCAACATCACATTTTGATTCAAAAGTTGTCGCTGTATGGTTTTAGTAATAATAGCCTGTCCTTAATTGCGTCTTATTTATCAGATAGAAGACAGTATGTTAGTTTTCAAAATTGTTTATCCAACAATGTACATATTAAGCACGGAGTTCCCCAAGGAAGTGTCTTGGGACCGATTCTTTTTTTGATCTACATCAATGATCTGCCAAACTGTAGCATCAATCAGTATATATTATTTGCGGATGACACGACATCAATATCCTCCAATAGTAATTTTGACCATGTATTGCTCGATTCTCAGCAGCATTTTGACAACATTCAAAACTGGTTTAATGCCAACAGTTTGTCAATCAACATAGCGAAAACTCAATCTCTTCTACTCAGTACTCGTCCACATAGAAGTAATTTAGTAGAGCCCGTGAAATTTCTTGGAGTGCTTATTGATGCAAGCTTAACTTGGGAATCACACATCACCTCTTTATCAAAGAAGTTATCTAAAATAACATATATGATACGTAGTTTAAATACCTACGTAACAAAATCGACTTTAATGACAGCCTATTATGCTTACTTCCAATCTAACCTGCAATACTGTATACTGATTTGGGGACATTCATGTCATGTATCGAAGGTGTTTGCTGTTCAGAGACGATGCTTGAGAATAATAGCAAACTTATATTTCAGACAGTGTTGCAAGACGACATTTATCGACCTAAAAATTTTAACTGTGCCATGCATATATATACTGGAATGTCTGATCCACGTTAAAAATAATTACGATGATTACAGAACTCCGAAAGAGATTCACAAATATAACACAAGGTTCAACAATGAATTAATACCAGAGTACACAAGATTATCAAAAACTAGACACGGAAGTAATTATTTCGGTGTGAAATTTTTTAATGCGCTGCCCAAGTTTTGTCAAACACTCAACTCATCCATTTTTAAAGCAACTGTGAAAAGATATCTAGTGACGAAAGCTTTTTACAGCATAGATGAGTTTTTAAATACTGATTTTACCGACTTTGTTCCATAATTGTTGACTATTTATTACTTTGTTTTCGTTTGTGTTTTTTTATGTGTTATTTTTGTATTATATTTTATCGTTCTCCAGACGTGTGTAAGGACTTTTGAGTACAAACATGAAAAAATGATTACTATTTCATAATTTTTTTAACCATCTTATTTTATTGTTCATCTAAATTTTAAAATCGTTTCATCAAGTTTTTTTTACCTTTTATTGCCACTTTGTGTTTTACGTTTGTCTGATTTTCGTATTGTTTGTTACTTTTACTTACTCTTTTATGTTCTACTTTAAATGACCTGTGCAAACACATTTTTGTGTAATAGTACCAATAAATTATTATTATTATTATATTATTCTGCTACAAGTGGGTAATCTTGGTTGGCGCTCATCATTCCAAAAATTGGTACCTATTTTTTTCTGATTGCAAGGTGAATGGGACATAGAGATTGGCGATCCTGAACCTACCTTTGAAAAAAAAGATGAGGAGATGATCAGAGAAAGTTCAAACCAGCCATTTGTAAGCAGAAGAATCACAAAATTGAACTTGGAGTGGCGAATAAGAAACCTGCCCTATCCATTGAACACTTACTCAGTGACAGTAGATAATGAAAGTAATGATAGTGGATGCCTAGTTGTCAGAACTACAAATAAAAAGTATTACAAAAGACTGCCAGTTTCAGATTTGAATAGGCTGAATATCACATTAGAACAAGGTTTGTTCACATGCTCTCACAAAATAAGTTTTCTTCTAACATTAACTTGTCCTATAATTATACAATCAGATACAAAATAAATGCAGTGAGCAAAATTTTGATCAAATTTGGAACATAATAACTTTTTTATTCCTAATTGTATTACATTGATTTTAACAGCAGGCTGTAAGTAGTTAGCTAAAATACAGTACTGTGCCTTAGAAGCCACACAATTGTTGTCGTATATTAATTTTGTTTTGAGTGTCGTAGATATTTATTTAACTATGGGAGGTGTGAGCAGTAAAATTATTTTTGGTGTATAACTTATGTATAGGTACATGGTAGAGTTGGAATGTTTAATTTGATGAATTCATATTTACACGGATCTCTCTACCTTAGGCCAGATAAGTAGCGAATGCACCGCCTTTGCACAGCAACAATTCTCCATATATGGGGAAGTGCCCCCATATTAAAACCCTATGTCATTCTCGAATGAAAGTATGAATGTTAACTTGTAATTAAGTTTTTATGAGATACTGGTCCTTTATAATCCAACATAGTCAGCATGAACTCGCGAAGTTAGGGTTATTGTCAATATGAACACCTAACAATTTTACTGTTGAAGTTGAAGTTTCTAGTTGATAGCATGATCCCAAAGTAAGATCTTACACAAAGAAACACTCTGGCATCGGAGTAAATTCAACGAAGCAGCCTTCATAATAATGAATGAAAATGGGCACAGTAATCCAAGTGTTGAAATAAAATCAGCATGGCAACCAATTATAAAAAACATCAAACAACGAGAACTCAACCAACCACCAGCCACGTCATCAAACTGTATAAATAGTCAAGAAAGGAGCATGTTCGCCAGGTCACCCGATGTCGATTGAAGATCACATCAACCGGAACGGAAACAAAAAACTTATAGACAATGGAAGCCCGAGAAACAACATCTGAGTCATCCGCATTGCCATCAAATTTTAATCGATTTGCTTATTCCTACGTCTATTATATCTTTAAGGGAATCAATCGTTACTAGGTACTGGTCAACTTCTTTTTGGTATTTTTTTCAATATATGTTGAGTCATTTTCAGAGACAGAGAATTTCAATATATTTATTTTTTCTTCAAGTTCGGTGAGGATATCTTTAATCACTTCATTCTTCACTCTTATTCTTTTTTCTCAGCTTTTTGTATGCGTTTTTGTCCACAGAATATAATGTGTTTCTCTATAAAGACGAACTCCTTTTTACATATGTACATAATTAGAAACCTCATTATTCAAAAATCGTTCCTGTTATTTAATTTTGCATCTTCGCACTATTTGTCGCTCAGTACACATAATAAAAATTCCAAGTGAAAAACCAGATTGCATAGACATATTCTGGTTTTTATACAGGGCACATTTACTATATGTTCTATTGGTGTAATAAAACATGATCATGGATAGCATTGCAGTCTGATTGGCATCTGGAATCACACCACAGAGTGACTTAAAGTTGAGATAATGAAATAACATTCAGATGTACCGTTTACAAATTGAACCATGGCTACATTCAGGAAATCAGATATGTAAATTAAAGCTAATTGTTGTATCTACTGCCCAATCAATAACATCGGGTGAAAAATAAAAAAGTAATGGCGGTCCGAATTTGACTAAAATTTTGCTTGTAGCGTATATATGGCACCAAAGTGTAGTTTTTACTACTCTGTAGTAATGAAAATTACATCTATATAAAGTTGTAATGTCCATGTGTAACAGCAGCTGCATTCTTTTAAACTGATCTAACTGACAGAAGTGATCCATTATAAAAAGTTTCGTATTCTTCAAATCCGAACATTCAGCATCTGAACGCCATTTTTAGCTGGATTGGCCAATCAACTAAGATAGCACTTCTATGCTGAATAACAGTAGTCTTGGAATAGCTCTGACAGTTCGCAATATCAATCAACATACTATCAAATCTGACAGCCAAGTAAAAACTGCTGTCAAACTGATGAAAGTAGTTCTATGGCTTCAGTTATCTAGCATAAAATCGCTGCACCGCTGTACGACTTCATGTTGGCTGAATGCTCCTATTGTCTCAAATTTTTTGTATACTCCAGCTACCACAATGGCCTGAGGAATAAACACCCGTGGGGTATCGTGGGGCTATATATATATATATATATATATAGAATTGTCAATTATTCTTGAAAAAGGCCACAATAGTGGTCGAAATGTCATACAACAAACGTATTGAACATTCATGTGGTCTGATTCGGCCAGACAATGTAGTCATTCAGAGTCACAAGCTTCAGATTTACAGAATACAAAATCCAGTTATTGCTGTCAGGAAAATTTGATGTTGTGTAACGGTTTTCTTTTTGAACTTTTTGCAGAACATGTCTCATTTACCCACAAATTCAATACCTTGGTGATCTCATACAAGAAGCCAAAAAAGCTGCTGGAATTTGAAACGACAGTTTGGAAAGAGATCGTTGATAATGTGAAACCAAAAGATATTGTGCCTCTGTCACCAAACTCTCCCCCAAATCTAGATGGATGTAAAGCTAGTTGAATTGTTGGTGTTGTTTGCTTAATAAATATAAGAGTCTTTTAATTGTGCCCTTTTCAGTTTTTATCTAAACAGTGTTTGGTATAATTTGGCCTAAATCACATGCTTGTGATCTGCAAGCACATGAAGAAAGAGTTGTACTCTGATCTTTGTGCTCTCTGGAGAGTGCAAATTTTGTTTTTTCTCTTGCAAAATAAAGATAACTTGGGACTGACCACTGGCGCCTCAAACTTTAAGGTAGGAAACCTGTACAGGTACAGTTTATGCTTGCGGCTCTTGTGATTGCGAGGCCTTACGGCTCGCGTACACAAAATCCGTTATCGGCCGAACTGTGCTTGACCGTTATCGGCCGATAAAATCAAACCTATGTTAAATAACGAGAGCGCGTACACCTACCACTACAACCGTCATCGGCCGTTGCCGCCGATAAACAGCAACATTCGATTCGAACTTGTTGGGATTTCTCGGCAGTGCTTCGGCAATTACAACAGATGAATGAGAGTCTTGTTTATGGATATTGAAAAATTAATTGGTTGTGTTTATAATAGGCCGCTGTGTTTCAAGGATCGAGATGTTGTAAAACGGCTATGGGCTGAAGTTGCATTGGAATCGATATAGAGATTGCAGGAGTACAAAAATGCAGCAACTTAAGAGACCAATATTCTGAATTGCATTATAACATATTCTAAAATATTCGAAGAACTTGATGGGTTGTAATTTTAAACCCTCAAAAAGGTGGTTAAACTCCATTTTAAAACACGTCTTTACTCCTGTTAATCTGTATTCAACAATGACGGTCGACGGGCAACGTCCGATGACGGCGGTAGTGTATGCAGGCGAACGTCCGAGACAGTCGTCCAAACAGTTCAGTCCCGATATCGGACTATAAAAAGTTTATACGATATCGGAGTCGGGCGCCGATCCGTTATGGGAGAAAGTAAAATGTATGAAATATGTATCTGTCTTTCATATCGTACGGCCCGATATCGATGTGGTGACGGCACCATCGGATGCCCGTGAGCTATATCGGACGGTATTGTTTCGTTTACTTGTTTGGTTACAACATGGCGTCGTCATCATTTAAATAAGACATAATTACATTAATTGAACTGGTAGACTCAAAACCATGCTTGTGGGATAAAACTCACGAAGAGTATAAAAATAAACTACTCCGAGACAATAGTTGGCGAGAAATATGTGAATACCTTGAAGAGTGATAAGAAGTTTTAAAGCAGGATGAGAAAAAAATACTGATATGCAAATTATACTTTCAATAAATCTAAAAACAGAACTACACGTTTATTGTAATAAGTTTTTTGACCTAGATCTTGGAAAGTTGCCATGGTAATTTGCCTACATCTGAAACGAAATAATTAGCGAACGTTGCACGGACTCCACGTCCTGATTTATTAGTGGATTCTGTCTGGGGTACTTGACAAAGTTTCTAGAGATGATCTTTCACTTAAAATTATGTCGTCTATTCGATATCCATCACGCTTCCTCACGATGTTATGTAAAATAACACTGGCATTGACTATGTTTTTGGCAAATTTTGGGGACACATCGATGGGCCGATGGAATGTTCTCCATTTATTACTTATAATACCAAATGCGCACTCAACATACCGACATTATCTGCAAAGTCTGTAGTTAAATGCGCGTTGTTTTTGACTTAAATGATGTCCAGAATAGCTTCGTCACATATGTACATTCATTGGAAATGCATCATCAGTGACAAATACGCAGGGAACTGTAAGTCCTCCTTGTGCTTCCCGTCTATAGCACCGAGGCAATTGAGAAAAGATGTCCTTTTTTTAAAACCCTCTGCTACGGTTTTCCACTTTTGTTCAGACATGTTTTCTAAATGTTCACGATGGAAGTTTTCCCATATTTTTTGGCAAACAAAATTTATAATTTCACTCAGTGTATTGATTCCTAGCCTGTAATTGTAATCCGGATCGGTCAGAGAGCAACCACTGGCCAGGTACCAGAAAATTGTGGTTACAAAAACTTGGTTTTAGCGCACTTAAACTATATATTGATACCTTAGTATATTTCTATTAATAAGCTTATTTTTATTTCAGCACAACCCATTATAAACAAATGGAATAATATAAGAGACGCATTCATTAAATCTCTTAATGTAAAATCAGGGCAAGCCGCAAAAAACCATATGTTTTTCATGAAAACCTAATTTGAAACTGATGCCAATATTGTTTAAGAAACAGAACAGGAGCATGCTGCTCATGATAATGAACATTCTGACAGTTTTACTGTACATGAACCAAAGAAGGAGTAATCAAAAAATAGAAGGAAAATAGATCCCATTGAGGACGGAACATTAAAAGAAATAAATCAAAATAAATTTGACAACTCTGAAAGATTATCGACATATGACAGTTTCTTTACGTCTTTTACACCATTTGTTAAAGATATGTCAGAGCCAGAGAAAATACAGCTACAAATGAACATTATCCAGTATACATATACAAAAAAAATTAAAGAAAAACATGGCCATTCGATTCATAGCAATTCAATAAACTCTCCCTCCCCTATATTCTTCACCTACAACTCCGTTGGTGATCTATTCGTCATTGTCTGTCAGAGCGGTCCGTAGGACCTTTGCTCTTGGTTAAAGTCTTGTAAGTCAGTATGTCTGTCAGGTCTGGTTGCTCAGATACCAATGAAAGTCAGGGAGAAAGAAGGGAAGAAGGAAGGAAGGAGGGAGAGCAAAGAAAAAAGAAGTGCGTCAATTTGAGGGGTGCCTTGGCATAGCTAAAATTAGTATTCGGCAATTTTAAATTGATCCTAAAATTAATTGTGAGATTGGTTGTTGAAGAAAAATTATAATTTTGGTTGGACTTAAAGTTGCACGATTTAATTTTGTTCACAGTGCGAGTCGCGGCCTAGTGTGTTTGCGAACTTGCTCGACTGTGTAGTCTACTGACTCGCGCAACAAAGGGTTGCTATGTGATTCCGCTTGACTATAGCGTACCTGTGCTTGTTGTTTGATTTAGTCCTTTAGGTAAGGGATGTCAAGGTCTCTGTTAAGGGTCTGGTTGAAAACATACCATGGGGCGTTAGTGATTGTACGCAAGGTTCTGTTCTGCAAAACCTGCAGGCTACGTAAATGCGTTTTGGCGAGAAAACACCAAGTCGCACTTGCGTAAGTGATCGCCGGTCTAATAACCATCTTGTATAGCCGAACTTTGTTGATCAAACTTAATTTTGATGTTCTACATAGCATAGAGTAGAGTTGCCCAAACGAGATTTGGAATTTAGTTTTTAACGCTTCAGTGTGCTTCTGTCAGGTGATCCCCTTGTTAAGAGTGACACCGAGATGCTTTTATTAATTTTGATCAGCCACCGATTCGCCCATTCCAATACCTCGTTTACTGCACTTTACAGCCTGTCGTGAACTAGATCCCCAGAACACAACTGGGCCACCACGACAGTATCATCAGCATAGAGATAGATTTCACAGTTACTGGGGCGAGGGACGTCATGAATAAAAAGTGAATACCGGCCCAAGAACCGAACCCTGAGGGCACCGGCTTTGATGGGCCGTGTTTTCGACAGAACGTTATTAATTTTGATCCGAAATTTCCTACCCTCGAGGAAGGATTTCAAAAGTTTTAGGAGAAAGAAGGGGAACCCCTTATGGATCAATTTGTAGTGAAGGTCTTTTTGCCACACCTTGTCAAATGCCTTTGAGACATCCAGAAGCAAGATGCCAGTACTTTCGTTACGGGTGAACCCCTGGTTACTCGTTCAACAAGCCTAATGGTCTGTAGCTCCGTACTATGCTCAGACCGAAAGCCAAATTGTACGTCAGGAATCACATTGTGGTCTGACGACAAATTTTCAAGGTGACGTAGAATCACCTTTTCAGCGAGCTTAGAAGGAGCCGACAGTAGATTAATGGGCCGGTAATCCTGGGGGAATATCGAATCCACCTTATTTGGAACCATTATGACATCCGCGGTCTTCCACGCCGCTGGAATTGCTGGGTCCTTAGCATGGCATTGATTATTGCCACGAGATAAGGACTTCGCGAAAGTAGCTTCAGCGCCTTATTAGTGATTGGATATTCTCGCTTTACGCACCTTGAGGTTTTTAATATGACATTGAAGCTCTGCTGGTGTGCAATGCGGAGTCTCAGGAGATTCCGCTGATGTGCCATGCAGATCTTCAGTTGAGGAATCTTATGAACATTCCTCTGAGGAAAAATCACTAAGGGAGGCTCTACACTGCCACTGACGCCGTGCGCCCTAAAATATCTCCTGACGGATCTTACAATACGTTGCTCCTCGTCGAGGTCATTATCAAGGTCATAGTTGGGATAGATAGATAGATAGATAGATAGTTTATTGTCCTATTAGATCATGTTACATGATATAAGACTTGTCAATATCAATTTGAAGGTCGTATATGCGTTTGAGCAAATATGCCAGAAAAATACTTATAATTATAAATAAATAAGGTCATTACAATTACAAAACATTTTAAAAGGTTAAATCACATTATCGGTACAGCTCAAGAATCGTGATGTGTTCAATCTGTAACGGTAAAAATATATACATATACAGCGACTTTTTTTATCACAAAAAATGTTCGTCTAGCCGGTAACAATCATTGAAGCTGATACAAAGAAAAGCGGTAGGAGAATCTGTTAAGATGCGATTCCACCAGTGTGCTGAACTGTGCGGCACTCTAATGTGTGTGCAGCACAAATGTTTCTTCTCTCACTTTTGTTGTAACAAATTTAACGAAACACTAACGAATTGACTACGTAAGCCTTCCAACTTTTTGATAATTATAAATCTGTGTGAAGTAGTTTGATATGTATTTCACAGAAAATGTGTAACTTCTTATCCTTATATTAAACTTAAATATTGGGTGAGGACTTCAAGGCTTATTAAATGAGGAAATCTAGAATTAACTCACAGACAGTGATTGGAATATTGAAGTTCCTTTTCTCGCTCTTCATAATATCTATATCTACGTATATCTTACGAAATTTAAAATGGACTGGACGAATGATGGGATTATAAAATTTATTCAAGCAATTGAAACTTATTCTCTTCTATGGGATTCCAGTCACCATGACTATAAAAACACGACGCCACTCAAGAGTTGGCTCAAAGTTTCAATTGTGACTCGACTGAGGTAATGAAAAAATGGAAAATTATTTTGACTCAGTACCGAAGAGAAAAGAAGAAAATAGCGGATTCAAAATCTTCAGGTTCTTCAGATATATTATTTGTTATTTTATGTTGTTTCAAGATGTAATGTTACTTTCTTTTGCAGTCGTGCTAACACAAATTTGTTTTTGAAATCACCTGAAAGGGTTATGTGTTTGAACTATAATAGTATTTGTAAGTTTTGTGACATATTTTTATGTTCTATTTCGGAGTTAAAATGTGTTCTGCGGGAGCGCCTTAGATAGTTTTATAAGTTAGGCTTTTGTAATATTTCTAATTTAAGATTTTGGCCTATAAATGGAATATTATTTGTTGGGCAATAAAAGCTATAAATAAGCCTTATTGAAACAGGGACACATTTTCTGTAGTTGGTGTCTTGCTTTGCAATATGAGGACCAAGTGCACTGACCAGCAACTCAAAATCTTCACACGATATACGAGTAAAATTTTTAAATCCACTTAAGGGATCTACTTTTATTTCTTCTACAAATCTATTCGTTTCTTCATTCCATCGCTGCAGAAAAGGTCTCACTCAACATCGTCGTTTTCTTCTTCGTTTCTTTTTAAGCAGACTACCTATTAAAACACAAGCTGCGGCACAAACCACTACACATTCCCGCCCATCCATATTAAGAACTGAAGTTAGTGAGAACTTTGCTTGGTAAACATGTTCGTGCACAAGTGTGCTACACTGTACGCTTACAAAAGTTATGCACTGCTTTGCCGGTGGACACAGAAGATAAATTCGATACCAGTGGGCACATTAAATGCTGGAGTTTCACACAAAATGTTTGTAAACAAATGTACTGAACACTGAGAGAACTGAATTTCAATTGCATCAGCGAAAACCTCGACCCTTTCCTCTGACCTACAGACTATGCCCCTAGGACCGTGGGTATGCGGGAGTTGTTCTCGCTTTCCGTTTCTGAGCGACTTTGCAACTTTCCAGAGAGGAATACTTGAGTCAAGCATCCCCGACAGAAAGTCGCTCCACTGCTCATTACGGTATTCATGAAGAGCATTTCTCACTTCATGAACAATATTCGTCGCTCTGCGAATGCCATCTGTCTGACAAGACCTCTTCGCTTGCTTAATTGCAGCTTTTTTGTCAGACATTTTCTGACGAATGTCTGCAGGGAGAACCTTTGGTGATGTACCAAGTCCACAATCAGTTTTAATCCAACAAACAACGACTCCAAGCAACTCCTACATTGATGTGCCCACTCCCCAAACAGTTGAAATTCAATAAACATAAGCAACGCTTGTGAATCGGTTACAGAATCCGGTAATAACTTTCATCAATTTTTCGATACATATTCGAATCTGTAAGTTTACCTTGTCCTATGCTTAATATCTTTATCTTAATTCCATTTTGATCATAATACGTTACTTTCTTTTATTATAGCTAAATATATGTATGATGGCCAGTGTATCAAGCTAGACACAGCGGTCTGCGCCTCGTTGTCTTATGGGTTATTTTACAACTATTATATCCGCTTGATTTGCTGCCCACCATACATGTACAGTGGTGAGTACCAGCCAACAAACGATAATGATAGAAACTAAAGATTTACAAATAAGCATGTTTAATATAAAACAGTAAACTTAATGCCATAGCCAGCATTTCTTTAGGCTCTAGGCCCTACAGCCTTTCGAAAATGCGTGTCTTGTTTCTTGATACTATTTGTGAGATGAATTAGCAAATAATCGAATGTGAATTCACTCATCCGAAAGTAATTAAAAAACTTTCTAGGTGCGTTTTGTAGCTTGCTAAAATGCTTCCTCTGAATATCTAGCTTCCACAATGGGATGCATCATGTATCCAATACTGTCTTTAGACCGATCTTTTTTGCGTCTCAAATATAATAGATATTGAGCAAATGGCCGAATCCTAACGATTTATGTCGGAAATATGTGAAAATCGCACATGTGTCTACTATCGTCGTCTGACACCGACATCGGATCGGATAATCTGAAAACGCTCTACGGCTCACGTACACATAATCCATTATCGGCCGAACTGTGCTTGGCCATTATCGGCCGATAAAATCAAACTTATGTTAAATAACGTGAGCGCGTACACCACTACAACCGTCAACGGCCGAAAAACAGCAACGTCCGAACTTGTTGGGCTTTCTCGGCAGTGCGCCGTTAATTACAACAGATGAATGAGCGTCTTAAGTATGGATATTGAAAAATTGATTGGTTCTGTTTATAATAGCCCTGCGGGACAAAAACTCAAAAAGTTACATTAATCGAAATATTGGAAAACGTCTATGGGCAGAAGTTGAATTTTAAATGGATATAGCCTTTGCAAGAGTAAAAAAATGGAGCAACTTAAGAGACCAATATACTGAAATCTATAATGGCACTTTCAAAAATATTCGAGGAACTTGTCCGAGACAGTCGTTCGAACAGCTCCGGGCCGATAAATCGGTTTTGGTGTACGCGTACCGTCAGTCGTTCCTACAAAAGTGACACAACTCTAAAAACTAAGTTTTTGGTAAACCGAAGAAAACTGTTTTCTACACTCTAAATATTTTTTATAAATATACATTCGTTCGGATAAATAGTATAAGTCAGAAAAATACTTATGCTATACTATATTCTCTATTCAAGGCTGGTATGCTTTAATGAAAAGCCTTTTTCAAGTTATATCACTTTTGATGATTGATTTGAACAAAAATCCTGGAATTATATCAAAAACCGACAGTTTTGATGGGAACTGAAAATGAACAAAAGACTTGTAACACTTTTGTTGTTCGATATTATTAAAAATAATAAGAAAAGAAGTATAAGATTTATTCATAGTTTTTACCTGAAAATAAATCGATAGCATTATATTATAGAAATATTTTTATTTTCTAACACAAAACATCAAAAACACATTGACTTGGTCCTAAATACTGGACAGGTACTCCTATTTTTATACAAGGGAGAAAAACACAACATACAGAAACTCATAATAAGGAACAATAAGAGGCTTGCATTTAAATTAAAATAATTTTCAGTCTTCATAACTAAAAAACTCCTTCACAAGGTTTGAACTGAATTAAATCCTAAGTACATTTTTATAAACAGAGAGTAATATTTTTTTTTAATTGTTCCCTTATCAGCTAGTTCCTGTAAGTGCTGTTTTTTAAGTCACTCAATGGAACCTTATGAGAATAAGCTTGAACTAAGCTAACCGAGTTTGAATTATGTTCTTGGAATGTAGTGTTTTTCACATTATTCATATCGACTTTTCTGAAGTCCTCCTGTTCATAGGACGTTTTATAGAAGAATGAATCCGAGTATTCCTTATACACTTCAAGTATTTTAATGTCATTGCAGCTAACTTTTCCTTTTTCAGTATCTATCGTAAAGTTTTTTCGCCACTGTTCATGTAACGCTTTTAAATCGTAGAAATTTTCAAAGGTAAGCTGGTGAACTCTGTAAGGGGAACCACTTTGTTTTCGCTGTTCCAATTAGTGTTTCATACTCATCAGGCACGTAAATCGGTCCTGATTTGAGATATTTCATAATTTGCTTCTCAATAATACTATGTACATTATCCCGCTCATTTTGAGAATGCCCCTTTATTAAATATTTATGGGTGATACTGCGGATTGGCAGTTTGTTTACCGCGTATGAGTAGGCGGTGACTAAATAATTATTCTTCTGCGGACCATAACAATTGTCTGAATATAATATTACATCCAAAAGTTGAGCAGTCTTACTAACAAGCTGTTTGAGGTAAAAAAGTACGCAGCTTCCAATTTCAAACGCTTCACGTTTTCCTTCAGTCTCATTCCAAAAGTAGCAATTGACGTTTTTTGCATATAAATCGCTTATAGTAAAATTGTAACAATTCAGTTTAGTCTTACAATAGAAGGAGGAGATCTGCCCTCTGGGTACCGGTATTACTGCCTTTAGGTCATAAACTGCGACGATTGAACCATTTGTAATTTTTTTATCAGCTTCCTTCTCTAGACGCGACAGCTTCTTTTCTTTCATGTGGAGATTGTACTTGTCCATCAATTTTTGTTTGCCTTCATCATCTGCATTTGTATAGGAAAAGCAAAAATCGCACTGATCTTTTTTGGGTATATAAAATGAAATGTTATATTCGCCATTGAATACGATTAAACATCACATAATTGGCGTACGGAAGTTGATAACTTTCCCAATCTTCTTTATAATCTCTGTACAAGTTTTTACTACTATCAATATATTCTCGAGTAGTTTGAGCCCTCAGATAATGCGATTCAATTCGGGGTATGGCATTAATAAATTTTCTCACGGTATCTTCAATTTCGGGATTCACCTGTGGTTGTTTACCATGTTTTCCTCTTTGATCAGTGATAATAAAACCCTCATCGGTTCGTTTTTGTAGCGGTGTACGAATAGGACGATCGTTAATGTTGAGGGTGGGCTTAAAAAACATCTTGCATACCCTAATGCGATTTCCGTTGAGATTGAAATAAAATGCCGAATTCATTTGTCTATAATTCCCGTACATGAATAACGGTGTTTCGGTTTTATAGATTCAGTATGCCTCACTATAAAATCTCTTTGTTTTGTAAATGCAAGTTCCCAATACGCAGAAAAAATAGCTATCCAGAATTTCTTAACAATATAGTTTTTTTAAAGACCAGTTACCAACATTCCGTTTTATTTTTTTGCCTTTTGTAACTTCTATCTCTGCTAAGCTGCCATTTATAACTTATTCTGTACTCTTCGTTGAACTTTTGTCACTACTGGGATGCTTGTTGATGAAATCTGGATCTATGGGCGATTTTCTTTTTAAACGAACAACTGTAGGACGATCTATATTACAAGACACTGTGTAATAGTTGCTACATCCAGGCTGAGGACTGTTGCTTGTAGCCTCTTCGAAAATGTTTTCTGACTGAAGAGATTCTTGAGTTACGGTCTCCATCGTGAAGTTTTCTTGAGGTAAAAGCATTACTGGATCTTGAGGCTGGTGATTGGTAGTATTACAATGTTTATCATATAAAACCAAGTCGTATCCTCTACGATCACTGAGATTGCTAGAATCAGTTGGAATCTTCTCAGTTGTAGATATTTCGGCTTCAATCATCGAACTCAAAAGCAAGTCATTCAGTTGAGAACCAAGTTTAGCACTAAGATCTTCACTAGGTGCTGGTACTTTAAGAGTATATTTCGTTGTTTATGGCGGATATTTTGCTTGATTTGCAGCGATACCCTGCTTAACAATAAAAGCTGTTCACTTGAGATATCCATACCGTTGCCTACAACAAAAAAAAAACAAAGCTAAAGAGACAAAAACTCTGATGTCTTATACTAGGATTGGAAACATTATTAGGTAGTTAAATCGAGTGTGTTACAATTTGATACATTTTTGAGACAGCATGATTTATTTTAAAGCCTGGGATAGAAAATGACTTAAAAATGTAATACATAAATATTATGTAGTACATAGGGATCTATCATCCATGATGGAAGGGACAAACAACAATCATACATAATAGTGAGAGCGACATATATAATAAGATGTAGATCCAGAACAAGTATCCCGGTGCAGTGACAAAAGTTTAACGAAAAGTAATGATGAACCTCTAAATGAAAGTGGGGCAAAGACATGAACTACAAAACGCCAAAACAAAATTTTATAAGTGGTCTCCAAAAAAATTGAGTTGCTAAGAAATTCTTGACTAGCTTATTTTTGTCAAAAACGAAAAAACGTCAATAAAAAGGTCAGTCAAACATATTTATGTAGTTTCATTTGGCCTGATAATTAATTATGAAGTCCAACCACAGGTGAACCCCGAAGGTGAAAATATCGTGTCAAAATTGATTGTCCGAATTGAATTGCACTATCTCTAAGGGCTTACACTATTCGGAAATATATCGATAGTAGTAAAAAGGTGATGGACCTCTATAGATATTATGAAGAAGAGCGAGAAAAGGAACTTCAATATTCCAATCACTGTCTGTGAGTTAATTCTAGATTTCCTCATTTAATAAGCCTTGAAGTCCTCACCCAATATTTAAGTTTAATATAAGGATAAGAAGTTACACATTTTCTGTGAAATACATATCAAACTACTTCACACAGATTTATAATTATCAAAAAGTTGGAAGGCTTACGTAGTCAATTCGTTAGTGTTTCGTTAAATTTGTTACAACAAAAGTGACATAAATCAAAACATATTACAACAAAAGTGACCTAAATCAAATTATATTTGAACATTTGTGTTACTTTAAGCAATTAAAGTGACACAACTTTATATAAAACCAATTTTACTACAGATTTCTATCCTCTAAACTGACTTAATTCAAAATATTAGAAGAACTATACCCACCGTTATTCATCAAAAACGACACAAATCAAAATAACACGGTTTGAATGCATTCACCTGGTATTCACGTAACTACTTTACCAGGGGGTATTCACTCTTATGGGATGAAGATAGGAGGGATGAAGATGAATTGGAACAGTGTTTTTAGTTGGTGATCAATCCGTTGGATGCCGCTGGTATTGCTGTTGTCGTTTGTCGGAATTGGAAGCTGATATTTGACAGCTGTAACTTCTTCCTTTCTTCCTTGTGTTTGGTGGTTTGGAGTTTGGACCGTTAAATACTTTTATTTTTTGTTTATGTGTGGTTAAATTTGAGTGATTACAGCGCTTGTTTATTGCAGCATGTAAGTATAGTGATATAATCTAGTTTTAAAGGCTAAGATGATGGGTACAAAACTTCAGGGCCGTCGACAAGAGAGGAGGTCGTGGCTCAGCGCTGAGGGGAGCACGAGGCTCGCTTACTGAACTGATGGGTAGACGTCCTTAGGTTCGCTCATGTCAAGAAAAGGGCCCGAGAATATTTCGGCATGGGGGCTCGAGAATCTTTGGGCATAGGAGTCCGAGCTTATTTCTCAACGGCCCTGCTTATCTAAATATGTTTGCTAAAATCATCAATTTTAATATTGTATCATTACAGTATTACTACATTATTACAACTCAAAAGTTAAATTTGATTTTGTTTATGTTGTCATGTCTAGCAATATTTCTATTTCCTTGCCATTTAACTTGAACATATTTTTGTAACTGAATGTTGTTTTTCAGAAACCATGTCTCGGTACCGCAAATGCGCAGTTAGAGGCTGTCAGGACAGTGTTTCAGTACGACATAGATTTCCAAACCCGACGAAATTTATGTATGTTTTTGTGCAATGGGTGGATTGTATTGGTAATGAAGTAGTGAGAGATATAGACCCCATAACTGTTTATAATAGATATAGAGTGTGTCATGCATACTTCACAGTGGAAGACAATTATGGTAACAACAGACTTAGGAAGGATGCTGTGCCATCACTAAATCTTCCTGATCAACAAATATCCAACGCAACTGATGAAATTCTTGGTATGTTGGTTTGTTTAATTTTTAGTATCACCCAATTTTACATATCTCAACTCCAATTACATATATTCAGCTTTTTGGAAACTGTTATAAGTTGTGACTTTCAACAGTGTTTAGTACAAATGATTGAAACTACATAACTATAGTCTGTTTATCGAAGGAAGAGTAAATCCAAACATATACATGCATATTTTACATGACTGGTGAGGCTACATGCACCTTTGTGTTGTCTCCTGCTTTACCCTCCTGGTTTGGCATTGGCAGACCACACAGTGCATGTAACAAGTCACATAAAATATGTGTGAACATGTTGGGTTTGGTGTCTTTCTTCAATAAAGGAAGTATCTAGTTAATATTTTCCATTTCAACTCATTGATGGGAATTATTTATATTTGATATAAGTTAGACTGAGCTCCAGTTAACACTGGGAATGTTATAAGGTAAATATTTATACAGGGAAATTAGAGATCACATTATCTTAACTGCAAACATCTCATTGGTAGTTGTTTCAATCATTCCCAGAAAACAGTTTATTGATGATAGCACAGTAACTGTATGAAACATTATAAGATTGATCATGTAATTTTTTTTTTTGATAGTGTAAATTGTGTGGTTACAGGAAAACCATCAACTTCAGCATCATATCAACAGTTGGGAGAAGTTTGATCAGTTACAACTTCACAACCAGGAAATCTTGATGTAACTACAGTAGAACCCATTGAGGAGCATTATTCAGAAGCAAGTGAGTAAAGTAATTTTGCATGAATCTCTTAGCCTATTATACCAAGGGAAACATTTTTTTCCAAAAAAAGCAAATCTTACTAGAAGTTCTTCAAAATTGTGAAAGTTTGAAAACAAAATTGTTTTCTATACATAACAATACCTACTAATAATAATAATTTTAATTTCAAATCACATCAGCATAATATAAACTTTAAACGAAGTTTGGTCAACTTTGACTATCAAGCACTTGCATTTATAATTAGAAATGGAACATTTTATTGAATTTATTGTCTTGTAAAATACAGTTGTAATGGATTCTGAACATATATGTAATATAATATCAATTTCATTCTTTATTTCAAGGTTCCTCAAGAACAGAATCTGGATTATTGCATAAGTTACATGTAACCAGAGAAACCCACTTAAGTCCGAAAGCTAAGAAGCTATATAAGATAGCCAGTCACCTCTCTAGAGCTAATAGAAGACTAAGATGTACAAGGAGGTTGATTAGAAGTACTAGAAGTACAAGAGAAGTATTAAATGAGGCATTGCAGCATTTGGTCAGCACTGTAGCTACTTTTATCAAAAGCCAGATCACACTGGCTGGTAGTAAATCACAGGGACGGAGATATAGCCTAGAAGACAAATTGATGGGACTTATACTTCATAAACAAAGTGGTAGGGGATATCGAGCATTATCAAAAATATTTGCTTTGCCCTCAAAAAAAACAATAATGCAGCTATTAAACCAGATTCCCATCAATCCAGGTGTAAATGATGTGATTTTTAATAATCTTGCAGAAGTTGTTTCTGGCTTAGATGAAAGCAGCAAGTATTGTGCTGTAATGTTTGATGAAATGAGTCTGGACCCCCATATACATTTAAATGTTGCAACCAAAGAATTTGAGGGCTTTGAAACAAATGATGATGAACAAAGAAGTGCAGTTATTGCAGATCATGCATTAGTTTTTATGGTTAGAGGGCTTGTTAAAAAATCGAAGCAACCTCTAGCATACACATTTTGTAGATCCTCTACAAAAAGTGTAATATTAGTAAGGTTATTGAAGAAAATAATAACAAGGTGTCAGCAAGCTGGGCTAAAAGTTATCTGCACAATATGTGACCAAGGAACAACTAATCAATCTGCAATAAATTACTTAATGTACTTCAGTACCATCAGCATCAGAAGATCCTACAAGAAAATACTTTTTTCTCAATGGAGTGAAAATTATCCACATATATGATCCTCCTCACTTAATTAAGGGCATAAGGAATAATTTGCTGACAGAGAATTTAGTGTGGAAGTCAGCTGAGGACAAGTATGTGGCTAGTTGGCAGAACATAGAAACAGCATATGCTATAGACAATGCTGCTGGAAGCTTAAGGGCGATGCCAAAATTGACAGAATGCCATGTCAATAGAAATTGTATAAAGAAGATGAAGGTTTCATATGCTACCCAAGTATTCAGTCACACTGTGGCATCTGTGATGACTCTAATGGCACGTGCAGGTACATTTTCATTTTTTCATGGGCATTCATATAGATTCATGACTATTTTTACCTTTTTAGGAATAGTGGGCATACAAGGTGAAAAATTATCCGAAACTGCACAAGGAACAGCAAAAGTTCTCAAGTTTTTTGATGATCTCATGGATAGTGTCAATGGCTACAGCCTATATCCATCCAATGGGAAACCCCTGAGGTCTGCTGTATTTCGATGCACAGATCACTTTGAATTCTGGGTTGAAGCTCGTCAAACATTAAGAAAGATGTATTACCAAGGTTTCTATACTACATTTAATGCTTTGTAAAATTTTAATGATAAGAACAACAGATGAGCAGAATAATTTGTAGCATTTGATGTGTAAACACAAATTCAAAGTTTCGTATATATATTATCTTGATTAATTCAATATTTTAGTGTTGAAACCTTTCATAGCCAGTGTATAATGAATAATTCTGGACTGTAACTTTTAGG